CCCGGGCCTGCGGACCCCGGCCCGGCCCCCTCCCCCGGGCGCGGCGCCGGTTACCCGCCCTCCCCGGGCTGAAGCGCCGGCACCCGGGAGGAGGAGGGGTCCCGGCGTCGGGGCTGCTGGGGAGGCCCGGGCCGGGGGGTCGGGCCTTTTCTCTGCCCCCTCCCTCACCCCGACTGCATTCCCCGAGGTGCTCTCACCCCGCGCCGCCGCCCCCCGGCGTTCCCAGCCTTTCCTCGTTCTGAACAATTAGTGGCTGGTGTGAGTGTCACTAGGGGTGGTCCTGCCTGGCCACTGTGGCTCGGGCCGGCATTTCCCCGAAGTGCAGCGTTTCAGAGCCCTGGGGAACCTCAGGGCAGCGCGTGAGGTAGCTCAGTCAGAGGGCTGCAGGTGTTGGACGTCAGCTGCCAAGTGCTGGTGAACGGCGATGCTTCCAGCAACACGTGGGAGCGCGAAATGCGAGGTCGGGGGTGCGTTGAAATGCTTCCAACGCCGGAGACGCAGAAATGTAATGTGTGCCTGTTTTGAAAGATGCAAGAGTTCGATGGTCAGGCACTTCACGGTTTTTTTAGTGGAGGCAACGCTTTTTTAGGAAGGTTGAGTGGTAGGGGAGATAGGAAGGTAGCTGATTACACCACCCTCTCCCCCCACGGAAAATAGAAGTTAAAGTGGTTTTGGGGTATTAGTTTTTTTCTTTTCTCACAGACGGTGGCTTTGGGTTCGTTTAGAGTCTTACAGATGTGCAGTCTTATTTGAGGACCTTACAGGACTGGTAACAGCAATTTTTAAGTCTAGGGCTTTTTTTTTTTTTTTTTTGGCTGCTGGCCAGTACACTTGCATAAAACAGAATTTGTCCTGGATTATCATCTTTTTTTTTTTTAAGGGGGATGACCGGTAAGGGGATCTCAACCCTAGGCTTGGTGTTGTCAGCACCACGCTCAGCCAGTGAGCAAACCGGCCATCCGAACCCGTGGCCTTGGTGTTATCAGCACCGCACTCTACCGAGTGAGCCACGGGCTGGCCCCTGGATTATCATCTTGACGAGTATTTTCTTTGCAGCCTGGATTGCTACTTAGATATGTTTATTACAAGCAAATAACCGTTGAGAAACTGTACTGCGAAGCTCACTGTGTTGAAAGTGTTCCTGAGCTCTCTGCACCTTTATTGTAGGAGGTTATCCGGTTACCTTCTCCAACCAAAAAATGTTGATTCTTCATAGATGGTATATATTAGCCAGTTTTCTATTGCTTATAACAGAATACCTGAAACTGGGTAATTTATAAGAAAATGAAATTTATTTTTTACAGTTTTGGCGGCTGGGAAGTACAAGGTTGAGGGGCCTCACCTGGTGAGGGCCTTCTTGGTGGGGACTCTGTAGAGACCTGTGTCAGTGCAGCGTGTCACATGGCAAGAGGTTGAGCAAGAGTGCATTAATGTGCTGCTTCCTCTCCTTACAAAGCCACTAGTGCCACTCCTGTGACAACCCATTCGGCCATTAATCCATGAACGGATGAATCCATGCCTGAGCACCTTGTCCGATCTTGTCCAATCACCTCTTAAAAGCCCCACCTTTCAAGTACCATATTGGGGGTTAAGCTCCAACAAGAGCTAGGGGTGGGGGAGCAGAGGGGTGGCATTCAAACCATAGCAGTTGGGAAGAATTCTCAGTTATTTCTATTTTAAAGTCTCACATTTTTAAAGCCAAGTAGGATAATTTTTTTTAATGAATTTATTATGCTCAGTGATTTTGACGTAGTGTTTTCAGTGAGGAGGTCTTTTAAATGTCTTTGTATTCCAAAGTGGGGGAGTTGCCTGCTCTGGAGCAGCCTCTACTGAGGCTGTCTGCAAAATTGATCTCCCGGTCTTGATGAATCTCCCTATGCTCCCTTTACAGTGCCCTCTGGCTGCCGATTTTCCTGCCAGAGCGCCAGCCAACAAGGTTGTGGAGGAAAACTGCAGTGGCCAACACAGCTCTCCCAGACGGATTAAGATAACACGCTGCTTCACCTCTTCGCCGGCG